AATATATAAAGCTAACTGTTCCCTATATACATCAGAACTATAACGCCATTTAGTACCCATATTAGTTATTTGAGTTTGATTGTTTTCTCTATTTCCATGTTGATTAATATGTTTATTAGCATGCCTTTTTAAAGTACTAGTACCATTACCTGAATCAGCTTTATAAATATTTCCACAGTATTTGCATCTCGCTTTCTTGACTTGAACGCCATTTTCTGTCTCGTAAAACTTGTTGAAATGCGCCCAAATGTCTAATGTGTGTCTGTCTTCTCTTCCGACGACAGTTGATAATCCCGCCTCAGCTTGAGATGAAGTTGGACGAGCACGACGATTACGAGGATGACTTCTACAACCACCGAGAGCTGTTGGAATCGGGGGCATAGTTTGAGGTCTATCGGATTCTGAGAATGGGAAAGCGGGACTATTTGAATCTCCTCCTGCATTTATGTTAGTAAAATCAGCGGGACTAGGACTAGGATAGTAGTTTCCGTCATCATTGTAATTGATGGGAGAGAAATATCTATCCATTGTAGTTGAAAAAAAAAATTGATGTAGAAGAAATAAAAATTAAAGAAAGAGAATTGGAATATGGAAATTGGAAATATGAATTAAAAATTGCAAAAACTAATCAAAAATGAATAATTGAGAGATTAGAGAATATGAGAGAATGAGAGAATTTGAGTTGTGAGAAAAATGTGAGAGTTTAGGGCCAACTTATAGGAAAAAATGGGAAAGAAAAATGACGAAAAAGACTCATCCAACGACTATAAAACGGCTATATTTCAAGGGTAAATGGGTAATTTGAAAAATAAAATAAAAATTAAAATAAAATAAAAATTTTTATTTTTTTATTTTTTTCGGCCAACCTAGAGGGTTGGCTATTGCAACCCGGCAGGTTGGCGGGTTAGCCGTTACAACCCGCTGGGTTGCAACAGCCAACCTTGCGGGTTACCGGGTCTCTTGAAAAAGAGACAAAATAGCAACCCGCCGGGTTGCGGGTTGCCATTGTGCAACCCGGCCCACCTGGGGGTTGCTGCCGGGTTAGGGTCAACCCGGGTTTAACCCGTATTTTTACGGGTCGGGTTAGGGTTGACCCGCCTAACCCGGCCCAAATGTTCCACCTTTACTTCCAAATGAGAGCCGCTGTCATTCATTGTCAACAGTACAAGTCCTGACTTCCGCAATCCTCTCCTTTTCATAATTTACATGTAACAAGTAGCTGAAATTTCTTGTGCAATCTGTTGTGAAAATAGTGATATAAAGATGACAAATTAAATTGGGAGCACCCTGAAACAATATCTATGAGTTACAAATAAGTGAGCTACACAGAGCAACATAAATTAGGAAAATGAGACATGCAGAGCAATATGAACTAACTAGGAAACTATCTTCATATAATGCACAAATCGTTGGCTTCTTTGGTCATTGTTGGTGAAAGGCTAATTTCTTTTTCTTTTTCTTTTTCTTGAAACTGTGAAGTCAGTGTTTACTATGATTTTTCATTTTCTGTTTTCACAAAATATAAAATCCATATTTTTCTTAGTATTTACAATTTTATTCTATTTTTCCGAAAAACTAGTATATCGAAGGTGCTTTCTTGTTTCACTACTTAAATTTTTTACAATATATCAAACATTGACTTTAATCTCAAAACTACATAAGTTATAATCATTTTATTAAAACAGGAGAAAAGAAAACTTGATGAAAAGTTTTCCTTGTAAACAAGAGCTTCACATTCAGAGATCGTCAATCATGTATTTTACATGAACTTATATACATGACCATTATCTGTACAATGTTCTCTACAGAAAGAACGCCTTCCAGTTTTAGTATATTTCCTTTCCTTATTTATATTCTTTACACAAATGTCCATGTATTATTGTTCTACAAAGTTTACCAAGGAGGAAACCACCAGAATACTAAAAATCTCCCATCCTTTGTCAGGGATCCATAATCCTATTCATAATTATCCTGGTACTCCATCTGTGTTTTCAATTACTTCCCACAAAGTTCCCAGAAGTTAAGGATGGATAGCTGAGCTTTACAAATATAGAGCAACCAAAAGCAGCTTAATATGTGAAGAGTCTGATCACTTTCCGTAATAATATACCTGGTGTAATCAAATACACATAATACTGATTAGAAGTTCAACCACAATAAGGAACATAAAACAACAGAATGCATATTGGAACGTTAATCACTAATATATTATAATCCAAAAGTTCAAACCCTTTTAACGGCATAAACTCTAATTTGATATTTTCATTGCACTGATAAGTTTGCAATTTCAGTGGACTACTACACTCACATTTTTTACAATTACCGAAGTTGTACAATATTTATATTTAATTTTTTTCAGGGCAATGTATTAACCAGTTGTCATCAAATAATAAAATTAATTCTTGCATTTTGATTATGTGAATACTTGGTTGTATGTAAAAATCTGCAACACCTCTGTTAACCCAAATGAAAATATATACAAAAAGAAGTTGGGTGTTTTAGTGATCCGTATCATGTGACAAAAAATCACAGTTCTTCACTCACCAATAAAGTTCTCAGATGACAGAAGCTAAACCACCATAACTAGGAAAATCCTTAAAGACGACAGTTGTAGGTCGCACATTTTTCAGGAAAATGTCATAGCATCCATTTCAAATATGTGCAACAAGTGCAAGACAATGGCATGATGCTCACAAAAGCATATACAACAAAAAAATGGCTTACCTTAACAGTTCGGTCAGCATATCCAACAAAAAGCTTTCCTTGCCAGTAAAACAAAGCTGTTATGACAGAACCACAGGATATTGAACCAATAGGTATGGCATCCACGTGAAACTCATTCACCATTAGTTCCTACAAATTGATAGCAACATTGATGAGTAACATAAGTTCCTAAATAAATGAAATATATATTAAATTTAATTCAGAAGAGTTTAGACAGAAACAGGATATTATTAGCTTAAAGTTAAAATCACAGTTGAAAAGAACTTTCAAATGCAAATATGTACTACATTACAAGTTCTTAAATAGGTTAATATCAGCCATGAATCAGCTTGTCCGCCTTCAAGCCATACAAGAATTGATGTAATCAATATAATTAAACAAACAAATGATACACCTGCACACTGACAGTCTTGTCCCAGCCTCCTGTAAACAGCCATTTCCCCTCCATGCAAATAGACAGGATGGAACCATTATGTGTTTGCATGGATTTCATTAACACATCATTACTCCAGACCTGCAGGATGTAGTGTTGAAAGATAATAAATTCACTGACTAAGTTAATCAGGAAAAAAGCTTGAAAGGAAAGCAGCAAATCCATATTGGTATTCCCCATGACAAGGAAACACTACTATATATTCCCCATTGGCTCAAAAATCATATTCATGTGCATGTTCAAGCATACACATTTTCGAATGCGGAACTGCAGATGCACAATACTTAAGCATATAAATCAATCTTTCCTCAAGCTCATGCAATGTAATTCTAGCATTCTACATTAACTATCTACGAAGTCATAAACTGCAGAAATCAAAGTAAATGTCCAAATCTCATATCCTCCCAGAAGTGGTGGTCGTTAACCACTCCGTAAGGATTCTGCCACCTAAGCTTCATAATTTTATGATGCTAATAAAATATTAAATTCTGTCCCACATTGTCACATGCGAATTCTCAGCATAACATGACCAAAATAACTTTGGCAGGCTATTATAGACCACCTTGAAAGTTCAAAATTATTTCACTTACATGTAGTGTCAGCTATTCAATACCCATAAAACATAAACAGATCAAACCTGGCTCAAGCAAGTATCAGAGACTACAACACCTTTATAGATCCATTTTCATGAGCTGCAACAATAGTATGCTGATTGGCAGTAAGAGACAAGACAGAGTATACATTCCCCATACTGACTTCCTCCAATACCGTCAACAGACTATGATCACTTAGACTCCACAATCGGATGGTTCCATCCCAACTCCCACTATAAAGAACCCCATTGCATACTGCTAGTGTAGAAACTACGGATTTGTGACCATTCATAGTGCATGATAGGGCACCATCCTGTAAAAGACAATACATTATGGATAATGTATAGCATTTGGAAAAGATGAGGTTATAATTGGAATAGATCATGCGATGACAAAAAATTCATTACCAGCAATGACCACACTTTAATTGTCTTATCTCCACTGCCAGTATATAGATATTTCCCTAAACTAGCCAAGGCATGAATACCACTATAACGCCAATCCTTTGGTTCATTCCATTTCTTTATTGGTTCTTGCCCAAGAGGGAAACTAGTGCTCCATACAAATATACCACCTCCACTGTCACCACTTATGCATAATGGTTGTTCTTCATCCACATAGACTACTGCCATGACTTTATGCTCATGACCTTTGAATGTATGTACATGAGAAAAGTCCTGCACATAAGCACAAAGAAGGTAGTTGCTGAAAACAGATAACAGAAAATAAGCCTCAAATCCAATAAAATAATTAAAAAGAAAAAAGAGAGAAAACTTTATGCTCTCTCATATCATATCAATCAAACAAAATACTGAAGTGGATCTACTTACGCATTCAATATGAATAGATAAGAATCATGAC